GACCTGAACCAAGATTCCCTGGCCATCCAGTCCTTAGTCTGTCGCTATACAAACTGAGCTCTCCCAGGGCCTAAATTTATATAACGTAATATTAAAATGACATGCTACAAACTGAGTCTGTCATCACAGTCAAAATCAAGAAAAGAGGCTACTCTTCATGGTCTGGCTTTGTAACAGAATATGATAATATTTTGCTATGCTTTGCTACCTCTATAGCTTATGTAGTATGAAACAAAAAGCAGAATTCTGAATGATGTGATCATGACAGACACATGAAAATACATCTAAAAGTTTGCAACAAGAGATTACGGAAAGTCATGAGAAATCTGATTCCAGAGGATCCTGATTACAGCCTGGGAATATCCAAATGTAAAACAGCAATGCTAACTGTTATTTGTATTGCATTAAAAAGTGTTACCAACATTTCAACATACATTTACTTGTGAAAATATTCATGAGAATACTGTAACATTTCTACTGTAGAATATTGCGACATGTAGATCCATTGCTAGGGAAAAACTCAGTAAAGAAGCCAGCAACAAATAGGCAATCAACAATAGAACTGGTGTTGCAAGAGGTGTTTTCTATGTGGATTTGCATATATCCATTGCTAGGCAATGGATATGTTTTCTGTGCTGTGGCCGATCTGAGGCTATATAACGAGAAGCCAAAATAGCTGACAGTTCAGAGTCCCCGTGTGGAGGCGGGGTCGAATACCTTCACCGCAACCCTGCGAGTCGTAGGAGGCGACGAAAAGGGAAGTCTCAAATGTGAGACAGTAAAATATAGTCGCAAGTCCCAAGGGACTAGGAACCGAGAAACACTGCGCTGGCAAGGGCCATCAGCATATAAAAAGACAGACCCATCCTTTCATCAGAGAGGGTGCCTCACAGAAACAAGACTGTAACTGTCGAGGAGTAATAAATATCTGGTCATGAGCCCCAGGAGGGTGCTCGATACCAAGACTTAATGACTGACTGATTGTTAGTCGCAATATGACTTTGACTGACAGTTCAGTTGGAAGTCAGAATAGTTCCTGTTGACTTTCCAGTCAGATGAAGACAACAGTGGGTCAGATAGTGATCTATGACCTGTTGTAACCAGCTGTATAAACGTCCAATAAATTTAATCATCAAATCGAAACCCCATCTTATTAGTCATACAGACCCCAGATATGTGACAATATGTATACATAAGTACTGCATTTTATGGTTCATACTAGAAGAACAATTCTCAGACTTAATTTATAACAGCATTCATATGCAATAGTATATTTGTACTCCATATCCATTTCATGACATTTCACTAAACACTTCTGTTTCGACGTATAAATTCATAATACAATTTCACAATGGAATTATAGAAGTCTGTCTTGTAGATACCAAAAAAACAATGAAATGAAGTGATATATGGAAAACATTCTTTGCTTTCATTATATAACAGTTTTGATACTTCAAACTGGAAGCGAATATGTTGGATGGTATCTTGCTGTAAGTCCTTATGTTGTAATAAAGTGAGGAATGATTTTATACACAAGCATTCACACTCACACATGGAATAAGATGAAGCAATGTGCGTTCTCTCAGTAGCTGCAGTATGGTTTCTCATCCAACACAGATTAGTATCACATCACAGATGCAGGTCATCAACAGAGCTTACATCCTTTAATAAAGTGTTTTCAACAACTGTTTGTTATAGGCAGAACTCTGGAATGTGTCATGAGAATGGCTGCCCGACAGGGGTGTCTAGAAAGGATGCACATTGTCATATTTCCTGTACTAGCCACATAAACTCTCATATTAAAAACTGGTGTACACCCAAAGATCAAATAGTGACTGGAGACTCTAGTACATTCAGGTTTAGAAAATATCTGGACTGATGAAGTATAAAACAAGTGGTCAATTTAGAATATGACACAAGGATTTCGTGACTTGCATATGTCACCTCCTACTGCTATTATAACGAAATGTAGGAGACCATGGTGCATTGGGCAGATTATGTTTATTCCACTTCATGTTGTTTCTATCATCAAGCACCTTCCTCCCTCCTACACTTCTTAAATGTTTCCTCCCATGACTGTCATTTAATCACAGCCTTTCACAGGACCACTGTGCGCTACTCTGTTTCTTTCCCATTTCCTTCAACCAAAATCTCTTCCTCTGATTTATTTCTCTCTTTTATTAATTTATTTTATCTGTTTTTGCCTCTAATACTCACCTTCCTTTCTATTGTACATTTCTTCCCGTGGTTTTGACCCTTAAAAGAGCCCATTTCAGGGTGCCTGATTTCTTACCATTTTTCCTCCTTCATTCATTCTCTTTATATCTCTTTCAGTAGTTTTACTTCTCTAAATTTCTTATTTTCATTTTACTGTATCTGCCTTTTCCTCTATTACCCTATTTCCTTCCACTCTCTTCCTCTTAGCACCTACTATTGAAAATTAGCCCTTAATAGGGCCACAAATTCACATTCATTAGCTCACAGCCCCACTTCTCTTTTCCCTGTATCATGCTGTTTATCCCTAAATGGCTGACTCTTGTACTCTGAAGGCAAAGGCAGCAGGTGCTTCTGTAATGCTGAAGACATCATATCCTGTAAGATCACATCTCTTGGAAACAAGTCTGTGAGAACCATATGGATGAAATTAGCATAAGACTGTGTCCTGTAACACACTTGGATAACAGCAGTACTGAAACTTTGGTTTCTGCTATTTGACACTAGAGACTAGAAAACAGCTAGTCAGATCCATAGTTATATCTATAACAGACAGCAAAAACCAAGACAGGTACAATATATACAGTGGATGCTGAAATAGCAAGACTGTTCAATAGAAACAAACCTTTGTCTCAGCATTTCCTTATTCTCTGGTTATCTGAGTTCCAGTTAATTGCCCTTTCATACATTTTAATTAGAAGCCACATTTGTCAGACATAACAGAATTCAACGTTGTGCAGTAGATATACATACGTCCTAATTTCACATAAAAAATTTAAAACAGTTGCATATTTTTATCATTCTATTAAAGTCATTGAAATAAATAACAAATAGTCAGTGACATAAGAGGTTAAAATGCAGATTATGGTGTGGCTCCTCCACTACACCATGCTCACCATATAAAGTGAGATGGTACTCAAGGATGCCAACACTGAACTAAAATTATTATGGAAAATTTTGATCCCACACAATGGGTGCCCCTTCCAGAAAGGTGTGGTTCCCCTACTGACCTATCACATCACTGATAACATTTTTTTTCCTGTGGCGCTACAGCCCCATTTTGGGCCTAGGCCTACCTCCATGAAACTCTCTGTTTCACTTCGGTTTACTAGATCTTAAACATTCGGTAGGACTCCTTGGGCGAGTGATCAACTCATCGCAAGGCCTCTACATGTAGACAAACACAGAAAAACGCACACAAACATCCATGCCCTGAGTGGGATTCGAACCCACGATCCTGGCTTCCAAGCGAGCGAAGACAGTGCATGCCTTAGACCACTCGGCTACCGTGACCAGCACTGATAACATTAGGCAAGGTTATTTAAACCACTTTAGTTTCTTTTAATACATCATATTTGCCCAAACACATAGCACATTATGTAGCTACAAGTACTTTAGTTTTCATTAGCTGAAAACACATCCATATTCCTCTCAAGGATTAAGAGCCATTATTCAAACAGATGATGCACTGTAACCTCTGAACAAATGAGGACTCATTGAGAATCCTTACATTTACATTTTAAGTTAAATATTTATATTATATATATTTATGACACCTATTACCACTGACTGAAAGGCACAAAGTTTGTGGAGTGTAGTAAAAAATAAAATTTCTGACAACCAACACATACATTTTTTACAGTTTTAAAACAAACAGTAAAACCTTAAAAACTTCCTCTTTCATATTTGAGGCAAAATCTAGAATCAAAACCTGTATGTAGGCCCACTGAGGTCAAATTCTTCAAATGGAACATTTAGAAATACACTACTGCTTCTCTAGAACTATTCTAACATTCCTGGAATGCGGAATTTTAATTATGTAAATCACTGAATTATATTTTATATAGTGATGACCCTAATATAGTGCGTGATTCACAAAACAACGTTCAGGCATGTTATTTAAATTGTTACATTAATAATTCTAAACAATGTTTACATAACAAAGGCCATTATCTATAATTGTTGCAGTTTCAATATAAGCAACTCTCTAAATGTCAAGTTAACATTATGCAAGCATTTAAACAACTGTCTTGCTGAATAAAAGGTGCTTAATAAAAATTAACACTGTACATTAATATATACATTCTGCCTTTAAAATGTTATGGCAACTAATATTAGTTTGTTTACATTTGTGCTCCATGAAATCAGGTCATATTTTTCTCAGCAAAATATAAACGTTGTACAAAGATGTCGGACTGGTGAACTATTCTGTATGTTCTGAGAAGTTAGATACACACGGGCAAATTAATATCTCATATATTTAAATATTTTTATTATATCTAGAAGATATAAACTATCTCAAAATAAAGGCTGGAATTATAATACATATACTGAAAAATAATCTGTCACATGGAATGAAATAAAATATAAACTTAGTGCTTTTAAATTTCATCAAGTATGAGTCTCTGATACGCTTAAAATAAAGTTTTAATTTGAGTGAAAATGAACTGCAAAATATCTGATACAAATGTATAGATGCAACATTATTATAAGTAAGGGTTTTATCTGTATGTGGACACTCACTCCAAGTACTGCTGATTCCAGCACCTTGACTGCCAAACCAGTGAGGCAAGTGGTCCCCTCTATTTAAATATTTTTACTCTAAGAGGTATAGACTATCTCAAAACTAATCCTTCCAGCCGCACTAAGCCCTGGGGTTTACTCAGCCTCTAACATAAATAGTACCAGGAATTAATTAAATAATTTTCCTGGGGAGTAAAGCGCGGCCGGCGCGTAGGGCTGACAACCTTACCGCCATATTTGAGCCGATTGTCTAGACAATGTGGGACCCTCAACTTCTCACAACCCTATGGGTCTTCATGGCCTGGTATGGGGATAGCTTTATTTTTTTTTAAGTAAACAGAGGTGTCGATGATAGTGGTGATTCATATTTTGATTTTATAATTATGACACCATTCATTGTGATATGGGGTTACCAGCATTTTGCAGGAACATCCTGACTACTCCCACACTGAAGATGGAGACAGTATTTTCTACTGAAAATTGGTAGCCACATACCATACTACAGGGTTCATAACTAAGAAGACTATCATATGAAGAAGTTGAGGTGCTACTGATCTGTCTAAGAGAGCAGAAAGGGATGAAGAAGTGGAGGTATCATAGGTATGGGAATGGAGAGAGAAGGAGAAACTGAGGTGGAATGGCAAGGAAAATAATAGGGTAGAGGAGGAAATAGTTAAGCAAGCAAAAATCACAGTAAAGACATAAGCTGTGCACGAATCGAAACAGAAAACAGCAAGATCTAACAAGAAATTGTTAGATTATTACTGATCTTTCATTCCAAAGGTAAATTATTTTTCTAGATATACATTTTTAACAATTCAAATATTTGGTTTGATACACCTGTGTACTAATACTGGGAAAAACTAATTTCCGAATATTTCTCTAATATATATGAATTACAAAGATATTTAATTTGCACATATATTAAGTCTAAAATAATCTATTACAAAAGACTTCCTCTACTTATGAGTCACTTTGGCAGCACCATACTTTCAAAATACTTTGTAATAGCTTTCCCTCACATTTACTCTAACCATTTAGATCTGTAGGAGGCTCAACCACATTCAAACAGAGCTGGAGTCTGGAGCCATCTGGACCAACACATGACAATGCTGCTCCAGCCGCTGAACTGCAGCTACAAGACAAGCATTCTCAACATATAAATCTTTCACCAGAATGTCAGTTCTTGCTAGACGATCCACCTGGAAGCAATAAAACATATACAAATATAAGAGAAGGTTTTCTCCTTTAATTCAGCTACCGAAAGAGAGAGAGAGAGAGAAACTGGATTGTGTTATAATCACAAAGAAACCAAAGTACTTCACTGCAACATGGTCACATCACCAGTAGTACAGACAGATGGAGGCAGACAGCGTCTGTCTGTCTGTCTCTGTCTGTGAGTGAGAGTGAGAGGGGGTGGGGGAAGCACATATATATCTGTGCATTCACGCGTGTAATTTCAAAAGTCACTGAACAGGGTTGTTCAGAGATAACGTTCTAGACTTGTATTTGAGAGACTGTGGTTTCATGTCCCAGCAGGGACAATGGCTATCCTGACTTAAGGTTTCTGAGGGTTTCTCAGTCCCTTCAGGCGGAAGTCAGAGTAATATCACAATCCAAATCCTTTCTAGTTCATATTCATCAGTCATCCTACAATCATAATATAAAAGAATTTCAGGACTACATTAAACAATGACTGGAAAAAATCTGACTCAGCATTAGAACCGGAAGAGGGTAACATTTTTCTGTTAATTACAATTTTAAGACAATGGGTTTGTCACATATTTGGGTACAGGTAAAAGGTAGGCTTTTACCTGAGGATGGAGACAAAAGCCAGTCTTCAAAATGTCGTTTTTAAATAATAATAATAATAATAATAATAATAATAAACACATGATGATGGATAAGTTCATCTGTTAGGAAAGAGACATAATGCACTATCTGTGAGATATTCTGTTAGACTGCTACAACTTAAAGCATATGAGCAGTAGCAACACCATTTACATTTGCAAAAGTGAGAATTTATGAACTACAATATCACAGTTATGAGACTTACTTGCTCCTTGCACACTGATGTCTGCTTATTCAGTTTCTCCTGGGTTATTTGTAATGCTGTCTGCAAAGATGCAACCTTTTCTTTGTGTTCCTGCAGTGAACCTATAAAAATGAACACAGCACTCAGTTATTTTGTAGATACAGTTTTTTTTCCTTGGCACTACAGCCCCAGTGGGCCTAGGCCTACCTCCATGAACTTCTCCGTTCACTTCGGTTTTTCTAGATCTTACACATATGGTAGGACTCCTTGGGTGAGTGATCAGCTCGTCGCAAGGCCTCTACCTGTAGACAAACACAGAAAAACGCACACAAACATCCATGCCCTGAGTGGGATTCAAACCAACGATCTCGACTTCCGAGCGAGCCTTAGACCGCTTGGCTACCGTGACTGGCATGCAGATACAGTTAGGTAACAGAATTTTTAAAAGTATATTATAATATTTCAGTAGTTCTCAACCTCTTCTGATTCAGAGTCCAGTAATATAGCACTCGGATTTCCAAGTACTGGTCCCATATCTGTTTTGCACTGTGCAATTAAAAGAAAAGTCTATAATTAATTATTAACAGAACATTTAAATACGTTTATGTGATATAATAATTATGATTTTATTGGTATTAAAATGAAGGAGATGGCATAATCATTCAGTTTATCATTCATGATTAAATATTATGCATGAGGACATATGAAACAGTATTTGAAAATGTGTACCAGAGCAGGCAGTTTCCACTTGCACTCCATAAAGCACCTACCTGTTTCAGACCATTATCAATAGGAACTGTATCATATAATGTTTACTTTTGTGGACATTACTATAGGTTTCATTTAAACACATTTTAGTTACAGCAACGTAACTAGTTTCATGGGTTTTCTAAGTTCAATAACAATGTTGTATGGTACTTCTCTATTAAATCATAGGCTTTCTACATTGATGATCCCCAATAATTTCATCAGTGTATGGTGATGCAATTGCTAACACACAGAGATGCATTTAATATGGAATTTATAGGTACTTTTATAATCTACCACCGAAAACATGTCATGCACCTACTTCCAGTGGTTCATTAACACTTGTCATCAAACTGAAAGACACATGCAGATTTCACATAGCTACCATGTTGTTTGGCTTTCCCTTTTTATAAAAAATAAATTGAAAAAAGGTGGATATGTTTGAAGCTGTATTAACACAGAAAAATGTGACCACTTACGCTTCAGGATGATTTCACTCTGCTGCTGCTGCTGTTTAAGAGCAACCTCCAGATGATGACACTGCTGTTCTTGCTGCCGGAGTCGAGCATTCAGAGCTTGCAGAATATTGAGGTCAATTCGACATGCCTGGCCACGAACCTTGGCACCAGATGCCCAGTGTGGCTGTAAAACATATTAATTCCACAAAAGAAGGTTGAAAACTATATATTTATGAGAAATACAACAATGTAGTTATCAATCCTGAAGATAGTGGTAGAATATAGTTCTGAAATGTTGGCAACACTGTCCATATTCACATGGTGCACAGACTCAAGAGCAGAACAAAAACCCGCAATATTAGTAAGCCTCAATCTATGTTCTTTGCTTAATGTGAGATACCACGTTTCACACCAATACAAAACAACAGGCAAAGTTATAGTTTTGTGTATTTCAATCTTAGTCTTTCTAGGCGGGTGGAAAAACAAAAGATTCTGAACTGAATGGCAGCAAGCATTCATTGAATTTAATCTGCTCTGAATTTCTTAGAGAATTGAAATCTTAATTTGTGTTACACACAAATATTTGAGCTTACCACAATTTTGGAAGGATTCTGTACATATTAATATTTTTAATTTTTCATTCATGAAATTTGCTCATGGGCCATTGCCCTATTCACTAATAAATTCAAAGTACATAAAAGAGTTTTGAGAATTTCATTTCTCAGATGGGAATCAAAAGAAATAAGAGTTCACTACATGTCAACTACTTCATACCAATGACCATCTATGACCTACCCTATATAATTGTTTGGCTGCTCTGGTAAGAGAGATGGACAATCCTTGCATCAATTCAGGCCACACAGGCTTGTACTGGCAGCAGACTTGACAAATCAAGATTCTATATCCATACAATTTCTCTTCCACATCATCCCAGTATATTATTTAGCAGCTACCAGGAAATGAGTTTATGCATCATGCATGGCTTCAATTTCAGGAGTCCTGTGGCAGTTCGTGCTGATATTTCTGAACTCCCTGTCTCCTGTGCAAGGTGTCTAAGTGATTTTCCAGGACAGAGTTCAAGTTTTGCACCAGCATCATCAAATTTCTCTTCAGTGGGCACCCAGCATTTAGATTTGGTTCTCCTTCAGTCCCATAACAACACTGTATGTCTGAATGTATTTACAGCTGCAAGAACTGTAGCATCCTGCAATTTAAGGCAGAATCTCCTCCTTACATTTCTTAACAAAACTACTTTTTACATGGGTACTGCACATGAACACTCATTATCCTAATGTGTATTTTACACATGGCATTTTAATACAAGAAGTAACAGCAGGAGTTCCAGATGGTGGTCAGGTGGCACATAATGCATAAGTTTACTTCACAGAAGTGGTTCAATCACTTATTGGGGTGATACTGAAGAGAAAGTCTAATGTGAATTTGACATTAGTTTGTTCACATTGTAATCAGAATGAACATGTGTAGCCTAAACTGATGCAATGATTGCCTGTCTCTCCTGTCTAAATGACCAGCTATTTCCACATAGCTCTCAAACAACTGCACCGTATCATGGCAAGAGAACTGCACCGTCATATTCACACTTACAGGGATTCCAGCACCGCCATTTTGGAAGTAGGATTTTCCGGTTTGCATTTCCAAAACATCCTGTACTAATACTTCTTTCTGGTGGCGAAGTACATGGCATTCCTCATCCAACTGCTGCTTAATATTATGAAGATGAATCAGTTCAGTCCGCAGATCTGCATTATCAGGAAATGTACTTGGCCCACTCTGTGGAGAAGTTGATCTACTGCCAGCCAAAGGTCTGGACCTGATACTACTGTAACCGTTCACTGGGCCAGCAACCTTGCTGAGTCTCTGCGACTCCTAAATACAGAAACAAAACACAAATGTTCATTCCTGCTTACAAATTTCTCATTCCATAATAGATTAAGTGTCTTTCCTTGCCATGTACAGGGATAAGGGAAGATGAAGTTGCTCCTGTGCTTCATTAATTAAGCAATATTCCAGGAAAAGAGTATCCATTGGATAGGAGACTGGGTGGGCCGCAGAGCTGACTGGGACACTTTGGAGTGGAGAAAAATCTTGCCTTTGCCAGGAATTGAACCCTGTTGTCCAGCCTATAGCCTGCAGCTAAACTGGCAGAGCTACCAAGTACAGAAACACTTTATTCATATTCATATTCATATTTATTTCAAGTTCAGTTGATCCATACATGAGTTGAAAGTACAAACTGTTGGATATAGAACGTGTCACAAAGTAAATACTAGTCTAAGTTCCCAATCATTGGAACAGAGTCAAAATACCCGATAAGAACGATATATGATACAGTACACACATTATTAAAATTTCATTTAAATACAATAAGATAAAACCATAAATTAAAAGTACCAGTAACATATGTATTCAACAATGACTTTAACATGAAGTATAAAAAAAACAAAAAACTAATTACCCTGAGGAAAGTGTCACAACCATCACTTAAAAGCTACAGTATACCAAAGAAACAACCTATGACCACACTTCACATCCAACAAATTGGTTATACCAACCACTGGTCTATACAATACATTCCCAGAATCATGATGCATAACAATAGTACTGTAAACCGTCCTACATGTACCAGCCCCACCAATCAGCCCACAATGCATACAACAAAATGTAATAAGACATCCCACTTCCTAGTATGCCTTCTATACAGGACTTCAATATGCAAAGGGGTGAAAATCACCCCATTCACCCATCAAATAACTCCTGTTGCAAGAGTTCAATGATTAAACGCGTAGATTTTAGTTCCTCAGATACCTCTTTGAGTCTATTTTCTAGCTCAATACACTGTACACAGGTGACTTCACTACACTTTGACTCTCCTTTTTGGTTTTTACGATAAGATAGTGCATGTACCGTAACCTCCGCCATGTTGACTGTGTACATACTTTAGTTACATACATTAAAAAAAGACATTAGATGCCCACTGAGAAACAATGAAGATTGTTTCCTAGGGTGTGATGCTATGTAGTCTGGTACAGCATTACTGAATGCTGCTTCCATCTTTAGGGTGGAATATGATTCTATCCTCAATATGGAGGCAGTATATTCCTCCAAAACATAGATTACAATCTACCAGGCTATACAATGTCATAACCTGTAAGAGGGTACTGACAAGAGGGGCACAACTTCTAGTCGCTTCAAGTACTCAGACTACTAATGGAACCACTGTGCATCACAGAAGATTAATCTTCATATTAGAAACTGCCCTGTTGATGAGAATCTAGTCAGATACCAGTGTGGAGAATTTCATTGTAAAGATATTAAAAATGATTACTGAAAAAACAAAATGTTCATCGTGCCCTCCAAGTCAACTACAAACAAGTAACTGAAAGTAGCATACTTCTTAAGCAAGATAATGACCTCCGCTAATTTCCACATTTGCCTAAAGCAATACCTACTGTCTTTATGTTAATTTTAAATCCAAAATGTGATTTAATTATTATGAGGAAAATGAGCCTCCCAATTATCAGAAAATGCTTTTTGTAGATGGCTGAGTACTTGCACTTAAGTCTGAAGAAGGCCTACAATGCTCAGGGCACAGTTTAAACAGTACCTTCAGAATACGGTTATTATTCATATCTATGGGTACACTGATGACTTGCCCTACAATATCACATCCTCCCATCTGATGTCTCAGCCTTCTGGTTTGCATAAATGCAAGCTTTGGGGCCACAAGCCTTTCACTTATACAATCCAATGGCACGTTCTTGATGTTACAGTTGGCAAAGTGATATTAATGATCTGTATCATCGTTTTGGTTGTTATAGGAAAATAATATTGTGGCATGTAGACAAGTGGCTAGACAATGCCTGCAACACACATGCGGCCAACAGTAAAGGAACAGTGTTTTCTTCGTCCATGGATGGACCATTGCTACGCAAGGTACGTGCTGTGTCATCACAGGGCGTGCACTGCATAGAGACGTTTCGTCCGCAAACAAAGAAAACACTTTTCCTGTACTGTTGGCCATGTATGTGTTGCAGGCATTGTCTAGCAATGGGTCTACATGCCATAATATAACAAAATTAAGGTTATGGAAATTTAGGAGACAGACCCAATAAGATTCAAAACATCTGACAAAAAATAAATAATGATGGAACTATATGTTAAATTTGAGCCATTGTCGTTGTCGCTGCCATAGCCACTACCGCCTCCCCCCCCATCATCATCATCCTTTCAGGTGTTAGGCCTGTTGATTCTTGTTATGGACATAACATTAGTCTCATATATTACCTATCAAAAATGGTCTAAAAAGGAGATGTTTTATTGCCACTGCTTTAGAATATGCTATTGGGAATGTCCTGGAAAACCAGGTGGAACTGTAATCAAATGGGGCACATTAGCTGCTGGTATATACTGATGATGTAAATCTATTGGGAGATAACAGATACCATAAAGAAAAACAGAGAAACTTTAATTGATGCAATTAAAGAGGTTGGTCTAGAAGTAAATGTGAATAGAGTGTTCTGATATCACAACATGCCCAGTAAGGAACTTGTTGTAACATGTTACTATAGCTGAGTACAGCTATAGAGTTTGGCATTAAACTGAGGAGCCAAATATATTCTATTCTGAAGAATTATAAAAGAAAGTTATGATCTTTTTTGGTATGTAAGAACAGGTGGGCCATGTGGTCAATAAGACTCAATGTGAACAACTTCATTTAAAACAACTTACTCTCTCGTACTGGATTGCTTTCCTTGCACCATCCAATTCCACAACAAACTTGCGATCACTCTCCCAACTTCCATTCTCCAAATCAGAAACTTGCACAGCCACATTCAGCTTGTCTGGGCAGAAATAAGAAGCTTTGAAATCAAGTAATCTGCATGACCACATCATAAGAAGACACATATTTAAAAATTCATATACTTTGCACTGAAACAAATGAAGCAAATTCCTAGAAACTGGAATTAAAATGAATGACTGTAGGAGATTTCAATGCCAAAGTAGGCAGGAAAGACATTTTCAAACCAACAACTGGGAATGAAAGTTTGCATGAAATTAGTAATGATAATGGAGTTAGAGCAGTAAACTCTGTCACATCTAAAAATCTGACTGTCAAAAGTACAATGTTCCTACATCATAACAATCATAAATTTACTTGGACATTTCCTGACAGAAATACTCACCATCAAATTTTGTAGACAGGAGATGGCATTCAAGTATACTTGATGCTGGATCATTCAGGGCAGCAGACTGTGATACTGACCACTATCTGGTGGTGGCAAGACTTAGGGAGAGACTGACAGTGAGTAAACAAACAATGCACAGAGTTCATTTGGAGAGGTTGAATCTCAAGAAATTAAACGAGGTAGATGGTACAGGGCTGTATGGTGTTGAAATCTCAAATAGGTTTGCAGCTTTGGAAAACTTAGACACTGAGGTGGATGTTAATAAAGCTTGAGATACTATTAGAGGGAATATCAAAATTTCTGTCAAAGAGAGTCTAGGTTATTACGAACTGAAGAAGCATAAGCCATGGTTCCATAAAGGATGCTCAAAATTATTAGATCAAAGGAAACTAGCCAAACTGCAGTGGCTACAGGATCCAAGTGAAATAAATGGGGATAATATGAAAAATATAAGATGTGAAGCCATGAGGCATTTCAGGAATAAAAAGAAAGAATACCTGAAAGACAAAATTAATGAGCTTGCAAAGAACAGTAAGAACAAGTACATTAAAGACCTGTATAGAGGAATAAATAAATTTAAGAGGAGTTGCCAACCTAGAAGTGGAGCCAGGATAATGTAGTCAATATAACGAAAGGTTATGGACTGGATGACCAAGGGGTCAGAGTTTGAGTCCTGGTAGGGTCAAGAATTTTCTCTTCTCCACATTGTCCAGACCGGCTTTGGGGTCCACCAAACCTCCTATCCAAATGATACCGAGGTCTCTTTGCCCGGGGGTAAAGCGGCTGGGGTGTGAAGCTGACCACTCATCTCCAGCTGGTGACGAGATCAACAAAATGTGGAACTATACATCCACCCCCCCCCCCATACACCTTCATGGTGTAGTGCTTAATTAGTTAACCACAGGGACTGTTTTCAGCTTACCAACCTAGAAGTAACTTAGTGAAGGACGAGAATGGTGATCTGCTTGCAGATTCCCACAACATTTTGAATAGAAGGAAAAACTACTCATCTCACTTACTGAATGTACATAGGGTCAGTGATGTGAGGCAGACAGAATTACACATAGCTGAGCTATTAGTACCCGATCCTGGCTCTTTTGAGGTTGAAATTGCCATTGCAAAATTGAAAAAGTATAAATCACCAGGTAGTCATCAAATTCCAGCAGAACTTATTCAAGCAGGAGGTGAAATATTATGTTCTAAGATTCATATGCTAATTAATTCTATTTAGAATAAGGAAAAATTGCCTGATCAGTGGAAGGAGTCTATTATTGTACCAGTTCATAAGAAGGGTGATAAAACTGACTGTAGTAATTATCATGGGATATCACTGCTATCAACTTCACACAAAATTTTATCCAATATTCTTCTCTCAAGGTAAAGTCCATATATAAATGAAAGAAGAAGAAGACTGAAGTGGGACTGCAATATTAAGACAGATCTTAGAGAGATATGATGGGGTGGTATGGACGGGATTGAGCTCGCTCAGGACAGGGACACAGTGTCTGTACAGGTAACTGTTCTCCATTATTACCTGTGTGCTTATTTTGTTGCTCCATGGCCTTCAGTAGTCCTCTGAGTTGAGATAATTCCTCCTCCTTCCCTGCTTGCTCCAGCTCAACCTTCTGCTTGAATTCTTCAAACTCTTCTTCCAAATCTGTGAACTGGAAATAAGCAATTCTCATGTGTTCATCTATGTAACCACAAAAGAAAATGATCAGAGCAAAGACAATGTACATACTTTCTCACACATGATTGACTTTCATTATGTTACTTGGGGAATGAAATCAATTTCTTTTCAGCAGACCATCATAGGTTACTGCATACTGAACAAGAGGCAACGTGCATATCCATCCCTATATACATACACACATCACTCCACAAAGCCATTTTGTTATTCATCAGTGCTGAAAACATGCAAATCTGTCAGTATAACTCAAATTGATTCTTTCAACATGAGAGTACCTCCTCCTGTACGCTACATTTTCATATGCAGGTGTGCTGAATCTTCAGATCATTCTTCTTCCCCACTACCGCTACACCTTCTCATACTACATATATGAGAAGGTAAAAGCCAGACCACACTACACCACCCATCCACATTTCTTAATGTATTTAACATATTTCCTTATTTTTAAAGGTTAGAAATCCTTGAATGGGAGGCTGATTGTGAATCATGTGGAGGGAAGTGACTATGTCTTCGATTAAGGTACTATCACTATTAATGATGTTATATTTTAGCGTCCTGTTGCACTGATTTATGTCCATGATTTATTCTGACCATCTTACAGTGCATACATTTATTCACTTTACTCTTGTCTCTTGCACTACATGTTTCGGCACTAAAGTGCCATCTTCAGGTGCTTTTCGATGTATGTCGAACTACTGCATTGCATGCCCTGTTGTCTTTATACTAAAATAACTAAAATATATATTCGTCATATATATTGCTAAATTTTAAATATTAAAAATGTTTAAAATAAATAAATAAAAGATAATTGACCTCTGGGCTGAGAGTTGGGCCTAATAATTCACAAATATGAAGCAGAAATACCAAAAACTCAATGTCATACTTGGTAATCCATCAATGTGATTATTCTATTTACCTTATTTTGAAAATATAAATGGAGGCTTATAAGGTCACTTTGTTGTCTCTGTACACCCCTCTATATTGCTAGGCAACAGCTCAGTAAACACGTTCCTGGGCTGCTGATAATTTCAAAATAAGGAAAGTAGGCTAAAATTAAAAGGAGCCTTACGAGATCACCTTGCTGTCTGCATCTCTGTGTCCCCCAATCTAACAAGTTTTGAATGCTTGCTTGAAATGAGCAGGCCTTAGGAGGAAGTGGTTGAAGAACAGTGATACACCTGTATGGTACTCAGGATGGGCAGCCTTAAAGAGGGATCAATATTACATGACATCAGAAAGCCAAAATAGTGGAGACAGACTAGATGGTCGTTGCTAGGTGATGGCTCAGTAAACAAGTTCCTGTGACAATGAATACATATGAAACAACAGATGAGCTGTTGGACGGAGTGTTTTCTATGTGGTCCATGTCATATCAAATACTAAATATATAGCAAAGAGAAAGTAGGTAATTAGTTCTTCCTAAAACTTTTTGTTCCTAGGTTATGAAGATATAGAAAAGAATTGAGGAGCATGATGAGCTTTACAGTCCAGTGATCCTTCTCCTCAGGAAAACGCAACTCTCAGTACCTACCTAATAGGAGGCTGGGGTGATCCAGAGCTAATCAAGATACAATACCATGATTTAAACTCAGTTACTAGACCACTTAAGCCATCTATTTTTTTTCCTGTGGCGCTACAGCCCCAATTTGGGCCTAGGCCTACCTCCATGAAACTCTCCGTTTCACTTCGGTTTACTAGATCTTACACATACGGTAGGACCCCTTGGGCGAGTGATCAGCTTGTCGCAAGGCCTCTACCTGTAGACAAACACAGAAAAACGCACACAAACATCCATGCCTTGAGTGGGATTCGAACCCACGATCCCGGCTTCCGAGCGAGCGAAGACAGTGCATGCCTTAGACCGCTCGGCTACCGTGACCGGCTAAGCCATCTATTACATCTCCAGTACATCACAGATGGTACTCTAAGTTACTGTCAGCTCTCTGAAGGAAATCTGATAGTTGCAGCATAAATACATTAATCTCAATCAGTCAGAGGCAAGATTTCAATCCAAAACAAATCAGGGAGCAGATCTATCTGTGTACAAACTGAGGCACTCTGCTAAATTTTAGACTGTAGAAAATAATACAGATTGGTTCTCACTCATTTCTGTTAGAGGCTGAGTCGACCCAGGGCCATAGTGCAGCTGGAAGGGTCAGGTCAATTGATAAATGCAATGACCTCATCAGAAATCAAACATGCAACCTTCTGGCTTGTAGCATAATGCCTCAACCAACTATGCTACTGCACGCCCCATATCTTTCAACAGCTAATGTAAAAATAGTTTCAATATAAAATTTTAAAACATGGATGGATCTTCATTCAGTATGTGCCTTAGAATGCATTTCCTTTCTACATGACTCCATATGGCAGCTATTGCATTGCAAGCCACATAACTGATAAGAAAGCAGTGAACCACACCATATGTTCTCAGCATAGTTTGAAAACCATGATAAGCTACAGGTGCTCGCTGTTTGCCACCATTTTACCACTGAAAGAAATGGAACTAGCCTCAGGGATATGATCATTCCAGAATTACCTCGCAAGAGGCTTAGACTGTAGCTGTACATTGTTTCCACATGTTCTCTCACACAGTAACTGACCCACAGTACTACAAAAACTTTCTCAGTTTCAGCTAAGTTACTGAAAGCAGAAGCACAACCAATTTTTTTGCATGATGCCCCCTGTACAACGGCTGAAGTACCATTACATATCTCTCCTCTGGCAGCTTTTGCTACTATACAAAAATCTGTAAAAAATTTTGTGAGACACACAAAATGCAGAAGCAGGAAGCTAGCCACAGAAGCTTGACACACAGTGCATTCACACAAGTGAAACCATATACACAGCTAACTTACCTCTTCTCGGAATTGCTTTCAAGGAGAATGAAAAAAGAAAGAAGAACAGTTTTATTTGTATGACAGTGACCATGTAATCTTACATATTATAAGCTACTAAAATATACTGCAGTTGCAAAACAGACTATATTACAAATAATAAACAGTGACTAAAATAAGCATTTTGGAAGATCTTAATGTGACCCAGTATTTTCAATATCAATAAAGTGTATCTAATTAGATTAACATCTACAAATGTATGGTATGCATGTATGCTGATGAATCTCTCAAGGAAAACAAACAAGCAGCTAGGTGGTGCAATGTACCTTTGCTTTCATTTTACACAGTAGTTAGATGAGTTACAGCAAAGTCTGATCATCAAGTTGAAGCAGTATGTACTGTTGTCAATGCTTATTTTATAAGACAATGTTCAAAATAAGAATTTTACTGATCCAAACATAAGTAGCAAATAATCCCTGCGGCTATAAAAAACGTGGAAATGTTGCAACTTTGAGAAAGGTATCATATTTTAAAGGATGCCTCATTAAATACAGTGCATTAGCAATAAGAAAAACCATCATATACAGCACATATGTTTTTTGATGCATTCTTTGTGATTTCACATACCTTTATCGCTATGAATACCCTCTAGCAGGAAATTTAAAATTGATATTCTTTTCATATTGTCATGCCTTAAGTGACGTGGTATGTGGTTTGGATTGGTATTTGGATTTACTGGATGCTTACCAGCCATAACTACACGTAATCATAACATTTCGTAGATCTACACAGTCTACAATTCACTACAGCACAAACAAAGTATTCTCAGTTTGCTGCATCTTCACCAGTTTATGCTCGGCAACGTCTCCCCACATTGTAGGCTTCTTATTCTCTTTGAGAAAAAGATGGGTTTGTCTCTTATGAATATGCTTGGCCTTTTGTCAAGTGTATATTTTGCACTTATAGCGCGTTACTGAAAATTTTTCCTTTTGCACCATACACAAGCCCTCTGTCAGCACAGGTTTTGCACAGCCGATCATGCCTGTCTTAGTATCTTATGCTACAATGGCAGCTTAGTCGCTTGAAACATTATGAGCGTGCTCACCGCCAAGTTTAGCCCCTTATATTTTCAACTGCTTCTCTGTTTCGGTTCCTGATAATATGGCCTTCAGGTGGACCACAAAGAAAACACTGTCTCCAACAATTCTCATATTGTTCCACGTTTCTTTTCAAAAAATTCCTTCTCTGTTGCATTAGTCTCTGTTGCCATGGAAACGTATTTACTTAACGTATTACTTAACAGTGGATGTCTTTTCATCATTCACTATTCTGGCATTCAGCTGTCATGTCACAATATCAATATAATAATCTCACTGATTTATATCTTATATAACATATTTGTCTGAAATATGTCAAACTACTATACTTCAGTGACCTTCTTGATACATCTTCTGACTGCTACATAATGCCACCATTCATACATTATGTTATACATATTTTTTGCATGAATGTTGTATAAGATGGAATTATATTAACTTGAATTATATTTTGAATACAATTTACTTACATGAGTATTATCAAACCCAACTACTACTTAAATATATAATTATGTATAAGAGAAAAAAATGATATCAACAGATGGCTCCATTATGCAGTAGGCACAAATGTACTGATGTGAAACTATTCACCTTGACTGGAGCTAGAAATCATTTTCCTCTGAATTTTGTTAAGTGTTCACTATAGTGGAAAACTTTTAAAATAATTTTTGCAGAGTTTATTGAGTATTGTATTTCAGGTTAAGTATATATTTTTGAAATGATGAGCCATTCTGAGAAAAACAATAAGTTCAAATAAAAGATCATATTTCACAACATTCATTTTGTGCTTCATGATTTATAGAATGCAAACCAAATCTTATCAAAATGCATTGAGTAGCTTTGCAGAGGAAATATGTCAGCAGACAGGCAGGTCCTCTCCATTACATACTGTTGCATGTATGAGAGTGATGCAGAGAAAACTAAGAATATGTTGCTGTCTCGTTACCCAAATGCAGGGAAAAATCATGACATAAAGATAGCTAACAGATGTTTTTAAAATGTGGACAGTTCAGATATTTGGGAATGACTACAACAAATCAAAACCTGGTTCAGGAGGAAATTAGGAAGAGGTTGAATCTGGGTAATCCTTGCTACCATTCAGTCCAAAACCTTTTGTCTTCTCATCTGCTGTCTAAAAACATAAAAATTAAAATATACAAAACTATAATTTTGCCTGTGGATCTGTATGGGTGTGAAACTTGGTCTCTCATATTAAAGGAGGAACACAGACTGTGGGGGTGTGAGACCAGGGTGTTGAGGAGAATATCTGGACTGAAGAGGGATGAAGTGACAGGAGGTTGGAGAAAACTGCATAATGAGGAGCTTCATAACTTGTACTCTTCTCCAAGCATAATTAGAATGATTAAATCAAGGAGAATGAGATGGGAAGAGCATGTAGCACGAATGGGAGGAGAAGAGGAATGCATATAGGATATTGGTGGGAAAGCCAGAAGGAAAGAGACCACTGGGAAGACCAAGATGTAGGACTGCAATATTAAGACTGATCTTAGAGAGATAGGATGGGGTGGTATGGACTGGATTGATCTGGCTTAGGAAAGGGACCAGTGGAGGGCTCTTGTGAACATGGTAATGAACATTTGGGTTTCATAAAATGTTGGGAAGTTCTTGAGTAGCTGCACAATTGGCAGCTTCTCAAGGAGGGCTCAGCTCCATGAGTGATTTGAGGACCCCATGGTTGTGATTATGAAGAGTTGTAACACTGTGTAGTTCAGAGAGATTCTTATGTGTCAGAGGTACATATGGACTCCATCTTCAGGCTCAAAGAGTGAGGCCAACTAAAAAATGAACAGAAGCAGGCTGGTTTCTTGTTTGGCTTACTCTTCCATCCTGAGGACGGAGGTGATACATCCTTTAAAACATTGGGCTCTTTCTGAACTACACATATTCTTCACTTTCAAATAATTTATTACACTCAGTTGTCAGTAGATAATACTACTTGTTTTACTGGTTTCTTTGCCAGTAAACATTGAAATGAATCTATGATCAGAGGGACTGTGATGAAGCGATGATGTAATATTACCTGCTTCTCAAGACTGCCTCTCTCCTCTATTGTTGACAGCCTGTCACTGTCAACGCTGTTATCTTCTTGGGCACCAAACATTTCCTCATATTCTCTTATCTTGGACATCAGTTCTGAAAATTTTTCATCACTAAGCTGCTGTTCCTGGTCATAGAGATGGCGTTCTTCCTCCAGTTTGTTTGACCAGTAGTCTTCACATTTCTCATACTCCTTCAATAGAAACAAACAGCACATGATGTCATGCAGTGAATACCATAGTGAAGTAGTTTAAACTTCTTCTTCATGCTCAGGATCTACCAAGTTTAGATTCTGGCTCAGAGACCAGCTATTATGATGAAGTCCTTTATGGTTTTCTCATCTTTTCATTCACATGTCAACACAGTACCTTAAAATTCAACATTCTTTCAAATTCACCATATAAAAACCCATCATACAATTCAATGCTGCATAATTAAGGCAGTTCAAATAGCATCAATAATCAGTCTAAAATGCCTATAATACTTACTGCCATAATTTTCCTGGGGAGAAAAAAAAACAGCTTTGCAGATATTATATGTAAGTATAAGGGAATGATAATTATGCATTTAATCACATATAACATAATTCTTACTCTTTCAGGAATCTGATTTCTTGAATTTCACACAAAAGTATATTATTAAAGTTATGGCTTCTGAATATTTGCTTTCAAAGCTTTGAAACTCCCATTACAATACATGCTCTCTCTACGCTGAAGATGAAGGTGCATACAATGATTTTATAAAAAATTTAAATATGTTACATGTTTCTTTACATACTGCCTCAACCCTTCTGGACTCTTTTAACTGCATGCTTCTAAAGGTTAGACTGTTTTATTGTAACATGTTGCTATGCAACAATCATGGGAAGAAACATGTGTTGCTTTGTAATGGTCTGTAAATATGTTTCCATGGAAATGATATTCGGTCTATCGCTAGATGGTGTTTTCTGTTGGGACCATCCTGAGGCTATATAACAAGGACCACAACCCAACTGAGTTCAGTTCATTAGAGTGAAGTCACATGAAGAAGCTAGCTGGTGAGTGACAGAGTTCAGTTGTCACTTGAAAATCAATCTGTGAAGAGAAGAACAGGAGGCTGGTGTGAAATGATTGGCAGTCTGCGACCCAGTCAGTTGAAGGTTGTCAGTTAAGAAAAGTTCTGTATGGGAGGCTGGGAAGAAAAGAGTTAGTCTAAGAGCGCAGCTGTGAAAAGAAGACTCTTATGTGTGATATTTCGAGTGTGTAATTCAATGAGACTGTTATAGTTCGTGTGTTAAAATTCGTTTCCAGGAAATGGCTAGTGGAGACTGTAACAGACTAAGGACACTAGTCTGTGTCAGCGATCTGTAAACTGTAATTACATGTCCTGTGTTAATGCTCTCAATAAATCCAAGATCAAATACAAAAACCCTGTCTATATCACACCTAAATCATGACAATATATTTCTTCTTATAACTCAATGTCTAGGCACCTGAAATCTATACTGCAGCAGTGTACATGTCTGCCTGTGACAGCTACTTTGAACGTCCTTTCCTGCTGTGAGAAAGTAATAAAAGCTATGCAAAGAGAGAGAGAAAAGAAAGACAAAATAAATATGATACTTTACTGTCACCTCCACATTTCTATGCAGGAAATCAGGACTCTCTAAGGATTTACAAATGCCCAAACACTTGGATCTCAAAGGGCTAACAGAGTTGTTTTCGTTTTTATTGGGGAGGAGGGGGGACAGAGTAGAAAAATAAACAAATAAAAATTCTTTTAACTGCAAGGGACAACTTGAACAAATGCATTATGAACTTATGCGTATACAGAGCAATGATCTAAGTTGGTAAAGCACGTGTACTTACTGCTGTAATAGATGCACCACGATTTCAGAAGTAAATACTTAGAAACAAATATTTTGGTGAATATGCAGTATATTATTTAAAATTTATCCACATTTTAAGGAAACATGAATAAAATAAGAAAGGAAAAATATATGAGAATATGAGCACATAGTAATTACCACACTAAGTAATAAATATTAACTCAATTAATACTTAAACATTATTTTATTTTTTTTCTGTCTCATGTATCTCATGTTTGTACCAGCACTTCCCACAATATACTGAAATAATAATAAAAAGACCACTTGCTCCTGGCTCACCATATTTCAGAAATTCATTCCACTTATTACCACAAACTTTATGTATGATTTTAGGGTGAATTTCTGAGAAAAGAACTGTATGTCATATCTTGGCAAATATGGTACAATTTTCCTTCATATGAAAAGCCACTGTACTAAAGTGCACATTTATGATGATCGTGGTCTTACATTACTCATTATGAAATTAATTATGTGAAAGACATTGAAAACAATAAAAGAAATTATGTAAAATTGTCTTAAATAAAGATTCTCTGCATTACAAATCCCCTAGGATTATTTATGGAAAAAAGGGGAAGTACAGAAGCACCAAAATTAGAGTAAATAAATAATATTTTTTAATGTAAATTCATTATTTTGTGCACATTTGCCTGCACAGAAAAAGAATATTTCCATGTTAGAACTCTGTTATTTCACTTTTGAATAACTAGGAAGCATCAAAAACTCCAATCACACTATTGTAAAATACCATCTCAAGAAAGTAACTTTATTCTTAACGTCCTTTCTGTAAAAGAATCCTGATTTATGCATTTTCAGGAACTCACCATATATATGATGTAAACTGGGATATACCTGTAACCTGTAAAAGGTAATCATTTTATAAACTGCTTTCTGAGCAGCTCTCAATGGAAGAGCTAATTTCAAGAATATTAAACTTTAAGAGCTTGAAAATGAAGGCACATGAACCACAGAATGTACCCTGCATTCTCTGCACAATGATGATTGAGTTCTAAAACACAGAATATGCATTATGAAGCTAAGCACCTTGCTTTGTTGAAGGTAAAATATGCAGTGAAACTCAAATCCAACATTCCTTATAAGAATTCTCAATGCAAGTGGTTTGTTTTCTTGAGATAGGTTTCTATGTGCTCAGGTCTACCATTAAATCAAAACTGGATCCACAGTAAAGTATCAATATTAGACTCACAAAGCTGAAACATGTAGTGAGGAAGAAGGGTGACTAGACAACAAGTTGCATTTAAGATGGAAACATATGTGTACAAAAGATTCATTAATGAAACAGGATGCTTAAATACAGTATTAGGATCACTATGGCTTGTTCATATGATATTATAAGGAAGATGAAATCAAGGCGGATGAGATGGGTGAGGAATGTTATATGCATGGGTGAGATGAGACATGCATACAAAATTTTAGTTGGAAGACCTGAAGGGAGATCACTTGGGAGACAGATGCACTGATGAAGGTTAATAAGGTGTGATGATAAATATCAGAGTTATATGGGTCTCTTGTGAACATAGCAACACACTTTTGGGATCTCTAAGAGGCAGGAAATTCCTTAACCAGCTGAGTACTATCTTCTCAAGGACACTTGTTAGGTACCTCACTAACTCACTCATGGAACTGAGACCTTCTTGAGAAGCCGCCAGTTGTGTGGCTACTCAAGAACTTCCCAGCATTTTATGGAACACAAAGGTTCATTACCATGTTCACAAGAGTCCTCCACTGGTCCCTATCCTCAGCCAGATCAATCCAATTTGTACCATCCCATCTTATCTCTCTAACATCCATTTTAATATTGTTCACCCACCTATATCTTGGTCTTCCCAGTGGTCTATTTCTTTCTGGCCTTCCCACAAATGTCCTGTATGCATTCTTCTTTTCCCCCCTTCATGCTACCTGCAGTTAGATACCTCGGTGGAAGAAATTTTACTGTACACAGTACTAAATATGAGTGCAGCATATGCTCTATGGCTAGGAACAGACTAACAATCCTACCTGACGTAATAATTCCAGACTGCTCTCCAACTCACAGCATCGCTCCTGCAAATCTGTGATTTCTTTTACATGTGCCTCCTCTTCTCTCTTCAAGTTCTTTGACAAATCTTCTACTTGCAGCACTAAATTTGAGGCACAACATTTTACGTTGCTTTGTTCTCTAGATTTTTCGGGTAAATCAAACTTTTCCTTCTCATTACAATCATTCTCCTTACCTATCACCAATTCTTTACTATGTTTCTCATTACCTTCCATTAAATTGGTCACATTAGTGTCCATTTTCACTGCCTCCATTTCAATACCCTTCACTCTGCTAACTTCCAAGGTCACTTGTTTCCCCGAAACTGACTTGTTTATTGCAACATCATTGTCATCAGATCTTGTACATTTAGTTACATCACTTGTGCCTCCTAGAACACTGGACACTTCCTGAGATCTGTCCAATGCATGATCATCTTGAGATGACAGAAAACAAGAAACATCTTTAAGTACTTCATCCATAGGCAGCCGATTCTTCAGATCTGATATGTGAATCTTCAAGGCACAATTTTCTTTAGAACAAGCGTTCTTTTCAGATATAATTTTCACAATTTCAATCTTAACTAGATCTAATTGCGACTTTAGGTCCCTACAGTGTTTTTCTAACTGTTCAACATCTTTGGTATTGTCTAGGGGATCAGGGATCATTCCATTCACTGATGATGGGACTGAGGATTGCAGATTAGGAAGATTGGTAACTTTGGACATATTGCCATCATCAGTCATGTCTGGAAGATCAAATTGTCCATTTCTTTGGTTATGGCTATTGTAATATTCCTTCAGACTAGACACACTGTCACCTTCTTCCAATAATTCTTGTAGGACTTGCTTTCGAATAACTTGAAACACCTGTGGAATAAAATGTCTGTTTTATAGTCCTTTGCTCACCTTAAGCAAACAATATGATGAAACAAATCAGATCACAGAGGAGAAGAAAAAAGAGTTATTAGAACAGAAGATACAGATTGGTCATAAGGTTGCAATCAATTTCTTTAGCGGAAGGTTCAAACTCAAATAGTGTTGCATGTGTATTTCTTTGGCCATAGCATCATGTAAGTTATATCAGGATGGTACAAGGTGACCTCAGTATGCAAATTACTGCATAGTTCTGAAAAATATTCATGTGTGTCAACCAATTAGATTGGGACATTATAATTCAATCAAATATATGAGCTGTCAACACAATCTTTCATTAAAAGCAAATTTTTCTAACAGTGGCATGCAACAATAAATATGAAAATTATTTTGGACACAGTCTATTGTCTTGAGATTTTTCAAACTGTGTTTCACAAACCAGATCTGAATCCATTATCAGCTATGAGGGAGGAAGGATTCCCACTCAGCTGGGCCCATTAGAAAGAGCCCTTATTTAATCCCACTTCTGACCCCAGTTGTCACAAGTCAAAGTGACTAGACACATGGTTAGCAGTTTTGGTTCCATATGATGTTCATATATTTAGTTTATATAGATCTATCTCTCAATACTTCATCATACCTAATTTTAAAAAAGCTGAAGATCAGGGTAAACAATGAAATAACTCTGCCAGTTGCTTACTATGGGTATGAAAAGTGGGTTCTCATTTTACAAGAAGAATTTGAATTACAGTCTGCTTTTACCGGTTCTCACGGTCTCTTCGCTTGCAGATTTCTTATATTTTTTCTTCTACCCTGAAGATGGAGGCGATACGTTCCTCAGAAACGTCAGTTAACACCACATATACACGGTGCCAAATCCCAGAAGACTGTTTTCTTCTAAATTATAAGTGTTTTAAAACAAGGTGCTTAAGAAAACAGGACAAGAAACTTGGTGATTTATACAAGTCATCTAGTGTTGTTAGGATAGTTAAATCTAGCAGGCTGTTATGAGGTGGGGACAGAGGCAGGATGTGGGAAGACAGGGAATTCATACAGAATTTTGATGATATCTCTTGGGAAATGGCCACCTGGGAAGACTGAGATAGAGATGAGATGTGAAGGCAACATCCTGTGGATTGTATATTATGACAGTCTTTAAATTACATATTAGCAGTGTTGAGTCTTTGGGTTCTGCTTTCAGACTGTTAGTTTTGTCACTTATTCTTTTGCACAGCCCATCCAACATGAATTATTTTTCTTTGTATTTCATTAAATGTACAACATACTTAAAACTATTTTGAATGAAAGTGTAAATTTTCATGAAATCTACAGTTCAAGATATGTACCAATTTTTTATAAAATGCTATGTTGTTTTTAGACAACTACTATATAATAGCGACTGATTTGAGCTGCAAAGTAGGAGTTTACCAATATAGACAAAAATTCAAGTTTGTCTACCATCTTTAAGTGTAAACATCCAGTAACAGATGTTGTCACACCTTCCAGTGTACTTTTGGAGAAGAAACATATGGCTGCATGAACAAGAAAAGAGACAGATATGACCTTTCATAATTTGGGGGAACCCACTGTATACAATCATTCAAAGATTCTCCTAATACCATTTTGTATGTTTTTAATTTCTTCCATAAAAGCTACATGTCAAGTTCATTATAATTTTACTTATTCAACTATCTAACAAAATTAGATGAAGAGTGTAAGACACAAAGTTTCTCAGTACAGAATTTCCTCCATTCCCAGCTTCCTTCATCATATTCAGATTTGAATATTTTCTTTCGTGTTTTGTTTTCAAAAACCAGACATAAAGTTACATAATTTGCTTCCTTTTATAATGAAGCAATGTCTCAGATTCCAGCATCTAGAAACATAATTTAAATCTCCTAGACACATAACAAAATCCATTCTCCCTTTGTTTCACAGTGCAATGAGACTCCTATTTAATATTCTTCACTATATAATGTTTCCCATCATTTAATGGGCAATTTCAGTGATCCTCAGTTAATAGCTTTAGGTTAAATTTCATATCTTTAAGATTTTTCTCAGCTCAGTATTTGAATCTACTGTTCCACAAGGAAATCTTAAAAGGCGATTTCACCATATATATCTTAACACAAATATTTATTATTTTCATCACTGGTCTGGATTATCTCTTCTACAGTGAATGGCCAAGTACATTTTTGAAGATCTTCTTACAACCATAAAAAAATATAACTCCAACATACAGAGCGTATTGCACACAAAAGTTGGTAGTTGATATGTTTAGGGATTTTCATGGTGATTGGTTGAATTGTAATCTTCTTTGTATTGACACTGTGTAGTCTTGTACATGGATACCAATATGTTGGATGACCTCTGGGCCTGCACTGGATTCTATTACCTCTCCCCCTCCCTTGGATCTGAGTCACCCCTTCTTTCAATCTGTATATATAACCAAATTCCTCAACCTTAACTTTCAATCCTGAATAGGAAGGCATCATGATCCTGACACATTTGCATCCACCTGCAAGACTGTATGGTGTCATAACAGAAAATGGCAATTTGATATTTATTGCTTTTATGGAACAAGAAGAAAATTATTATTTTCAAAAAAAAAAAAAAAAAGCCCACCACAAGACCCCACTCTGAGACAGCTGAATGAAGTCCAAAACTTCATACAATTCTTCAAAATAGCATCTCCCAGTCTCTGACTAAGTGCAATTTGTCTCTTTTCTTGAAATATTAATCTTCATCCCACATATTCCAGAATTTCTAGAGGAATTCATAGTGCGCAGTAACTTACATCAGACTGGCAGCTGTGAACTACCAGGAGGCAAAATACAGATTTACTATGCACATGCTAATATGGGGATGACTTTAAAGTTACTTATGACACTTGCTAAAATTTAGGTATCCATAAAAGCTTAATTAGTAAACATCAGCTCCCATTTATATGCTATCATCAACTTCACCAATTAATTTTATTAGGCTATTTCAGCTTGGATACTATTCTGTTACACAGTTCAATCGTCATTACCAAAGTAAGTAAAGCTATCCCTGTACCAGGCTGTGAAGGCCCATAGGGTTGTGAGACTTTGAGGGTCCCACACTATATAGACAATCGGCTCAAAGATGGTGGTAAGGTTGTCAGCCTTATGCTCTGGCCGCGCTTTACTCCCCAGGAAAATTAATTAATTCCTGGTACTCATTTCTGTTAGAGGCTGAGTAAACCCCAGGGCCTAGTGTGGCTGGTAGGATTAGGTCGACTGAAAAAATCCAATGACCTCATCGGGACTTGAACCCGCGACCTTCCGGCTCTGCCTCCTAGATTTCATTGTTTGCCTAATTTTTTCTAAGATATTTAACTGACATAGCTGTCATTCACTTCATTCAATTTAAAAGTACTTTTTCTTTCACGTTCATTTATCCCATCTAAACCATTTCTTCCTCCTATACTCTGTACTATATGTATCATCACTTCTCCATTTACTTACCATACATAAATGTGCATTTGTATCACATTTCTCATTCTCACTTCATTAACTTCTCTGCTTCACAGTAATTTTCATTTTGTATTCCTTAAAGAGCCAGGACACATATCTCTGGACTTCACACACTACTGTTAAAGTCCACCTGTTCTACGAACCAACATATATCAGTCTCGTGTGGGGAACTTCAAGGAATCAAAGTCCAAATTATGTTTGAATTTCCCACTTCATATTAATACTGAAAGTATGTTGAAAATAGAATCTAGTAACTTTTTAATGACATAATGATCTACATCACTAATTGATGATGAAGCATCCTTGTTCCCATAATGGATGAAGTAAAATAATGGTAATTAATTCAGACACTAATATTTATGTTATTTTATAAAATTATTTTTCATTCTTCAAGTGAATCTAATGGTGTATATTGAAGTATCTTACCTGTTTCAACTGACCCTTCATTTGCTTCACAGACTTCTGTTTGTCTGGTTCTTCTACAGCTACACAGTGAGGTTTCTTGCTTAGATTCGCCTTCAGTGTGCTTCGTTCTGTCTCGCAAACCTAGTCCACAGAAGCATGCAATGGGAACGCTATATATTTCTGGATTTAGCATTCAGTAACATTATTTTAAAGTATTAAGTTAAATCCATATGTATTTTGAAGAATGTAAAGATCAATTAACTGATCAGCTCTTTATATCTTTATTATGCTATTTTAAAATTATTTAATCAAGAAATGTCTATTTTCAATAACCATTAATGCACAATAGGATTAATATACACATCTCTCCAAAAAATTAAAACAAATCCATGAAGAAATATGTTTCAGATTACCTGCATTACATATCTGTTAGAGAAGCTGATTCTCCAGCATAATGCATACATGCTTACAAAAGTCAAGCAGTATCAGCAAAGATTATATACAGTCACATAAATTCTATGGATTTCCTCGTATTTTATTTCTTCCACAACATGTCTGACCAGAAGGTCACAATCAGGTATTAATATATTTTACACATTTGCATCATCTGTTTACTGTTATATATTGGAGAATGTATATTACAACTTAAGGAGGATCCATTGTTATATACATCAATTTTTTCCCCCTTGGCAATACAGCCCCAGTGGGCCTAGGCCTACCTCCATGAAACTCTCCGTTTCACTTCGGTTTACTAGATCTTACACATGCGGTAGGACTCCTTGGGCGAGTGATCAGCTCGTCGCAAGGCCTCTACCTGTAGACAAACACAGAAAAACGCACACAAACATCCATGCCCTGAGTGGGATTCGAACCCACGATCCCGGCTTCCGAGCGAGTGAAGACAGTGCATGTCTTAGACCGCTCGGCTACCGTGACCGGCGTATACATCAAATATTGTCTTAATATTAAAACCAATACTGCTATCAGTACCAGAGACCTACTACATATACATTAGAAAATTAGGTAGTCAAAATATAGATTAAATTTTGTGGGGGCTGATTTTTAGTTTTAACACTATAACAATTCATATACACTAACTTCCGATTGTCTGTGCTCAGATTTTCCAGTTTGCAGCTCGTCCATGTTCCCCTTTAGTAGTAGTCACAAACCTTGACCAGCATATATAATATATACATAGTGCTTCCATCTGTCCATCTGTAGGCATGAAACCACTCGAGAACTGCTGGATGGATTCTCATAAATTTTCTAAGAATTGTTCAACCATTCAAATTTTCTTTTCAATTGGGCAATTCTGAGAACCACTTAACATGAAAATCAGTTTGCATTTCTGCATGTATATCAGGCACTACTAACTAAAAATTTATCAGAATGAAAAAAATTTTGAAGAAACACTGTCACAAAAAATGTAACCACATCTTTCATTTTCCATAAGACAGATTTTGTGATAATTTAAAGATACTAGAAGCTATGTATACGTTTCTGAATTTCTATATGGAACAATCATCTAGGTTATCTGATCACACCTGAAACTTAGATTATCCATGTTTTCAGATTATTTGTGCGCCTTTCCCCATTCATTAGCATGGATAACTGGGAGTATACTGTATATTATATAAGAATATTCCTTGACTTACAATATGAAGTGTTTTGATATGCAGCATTCTGCAGACAATGTAAATATTTATGCATTAATTCACCTGATGACCTTGTGGTCAAAACATGTTGTTGAAAAAGAGAAAATATGTAAAAGTCCATGGAATTTGTTTGGGCGACAGACAGTATAACATCTTTAGTCATATACAACAAAACAGGATGCAAAATCACTACATCTGCAAAAGATGATTTGGAACTTGGGAGAGACAGTTACTTCAGTGGAGTATAGTTACTTGACCTAATGACTAATGGAGAATGAGATCAACACAAGGGCATTCTGTTCAAATCTTCTAAGTATATTGACATGGAGATCCAGCTGATATTTTTCCAGTAGTTAATATGGAAAGATATACATAACAATTAGTTTTAGGAAGAACTTAGGATGCATACTTTCCTTCATATCTCTGTAAAAGGGCCAGCAAGAACAAGCGAATAATAACTAAAGAATTCAGTGATTCATTTTCACAAGTGCTGATTCTGACTATTAATATAGCCAGGTATTACCTTACAATTTCGCACTGTCACTATGTTTGTAATTAACACAGGACAAGTTTAATACAAAGTGCAAGTATGCTTATGAACAGCATCCACACAAAATTACACATCTCATTTTGATTCATCAATTACTGCCACCAAAATATAGACTTTCTGGTCATCACTTTATATTTGGAATAATAAATGGCTTAAAAACTGTATAACTTTCAAAGATTTTTATCCACACCAAATTTCACAACCCCACATTAAGTGGTACAAGTGTCACTTACACTTCAGAAGCTCAGCTGCCATATTTGTATTATTCATGGTAGGAAATGAAGGAGCACAAAATTGGCACGGCCTCTAGTGATATGATATTCTTACCAAGATTTATGAGAATATATTCAATGGTTCAAAAATTACTTGAGTGGGATAAACTGATATAATACCACAAACCTATCTTATTTTAAAAAATAAGTAGAGATGATTACAAAAAAGATTTGAAGTTCTCATGGCAAATCTTGTAGTCATGGCTATACTGCTTCCATCTTCAAGTGTAGAAGTACTCTGAAGATGGTGGCAGTACTTTCCTCCAAAATGTTGGTAATCATCTACCATACTAAATGGTGTTATAACCAGGAATACTGCATTATAAATAGACTAAGAATGCATATGATTGCAAGGGACTTTAACCCAAGAATCAAATAAGTGTCTGGGGAGGGCAAAAGCATTCCCGATACTGTTGGTGGTAACTGGCATGCAGTTTCTTGATGCCACTTATTTGGGCTTGCAAGTTCAATAAAATTGCTCTGTAAACATCTGTCACACTTTGAGGAAGCAACTAATGATGTGTGTTCAGGGCCCACCATATCACATTTTGAGAACACACTTAAAGCTAGCATAAGGCCTGTAGAAATTTCAATGGGAAATTTCTGCATTCATCAACATTTCACTGTGATGCAGTCTTACGCATTATGACCCTTGGTGGAACTGTGAAATCATGACTTCACTAAATATACATGCCATGAACTTTAAAGTTCTGGAAAGACAGCAGATACTAAGCTTGAAAGTAAAACAATTTGCACCAAGCAGTACCGTTGTCTGGAAGTATGTTATTACACTCTTCCAGCAAAGGTGGACATTGCAGTACCAGTACCTTCCAATGTCATTTACACCTCCTATTCATAATTACTTGCAGTATATATGACTGAATAACCAGTGTTAGGCGCAGGTTTTTGTAAATTATCAGAGTTTGATATTAAGATATTTTAGTATTTTCTTAATAGATATGTATCAACTATATGGACTTTCCACTGTGGTGGACCGGGTTTGATCCCAGGTCTGGTCAAGTGGGATTTGTGGTAGACTAAGTGGCGCTGGGGCAGGTTTTCTCTGAGTACTTCGGTTTCCCCTGCCAATCTTCATTCCACCAATTGCTCTACAATCACCCTCACCTATTATCTGGGGCTGGTACAATAGGCCAGAAGTGGCCGCAGTATAAGGGACTTAGTCCCACCCCACTAGCAATAATAAAAAACAACTATAGGGACTTTGATGGATTAAGCAAACAGAGACATTCACTCGTTCATGTGCCCACATGTTGAAATCTTGTCTTTCTGGGGCAGCTGCAATGTTATTAAACCTTCAAGTGTCAAAATATATCTCATCACAAAAACTTTTTTTTTCACCACTGAAGTGACATGCATAATTTATTTACAGTGTATTTCACTTTACTGCCAGTAGCTCTGACTACATATATCACTGAATGATAGGATGATTCATGAATGATAAACTGGAGCAGATGTGGAAGCAAGCACCCTGTTTCTGGATACTATCCCAGTATTCATCTGGAGGGACTGCAGAAAAATATGAAAGTCAGGATAGCCTGTCTGCGGACTAAGGTTTGAACCTGGGACTTCCTGAATATAAAGAAGGAATGTTAATGACTCCACTGAAACATCTGGTGAAATGTTTGTCATTTCTCAGAATTTCATGCTGAATATTTTTCTTTTCAAGAATTGATATAATAAGTTAGCAAGAAACATAAAAAGCATTTTCTTTCACTAAAGAAATGGGGGAGGGGGTACATGGAAAGGAACAAATGAACATGAAAATATCTTGTACTATATATTTATTACGAATTCAACATATATGAAGATGGAAAAACAAACTGTTCTTCTTTATCACTCCGTTTATATTCAATGATGATCTGGCACCAATTACTTAGCCTCCTTTATGTAATACATTTTAATATGTTAAGCATGATAAGGGATATTTAATTTTACTGTTTTCTCCTGCATCAGAAGTTAAATATACCATAAACTTATTTTTCAGCATCCAGTTGCATTGAAATATCACTCGTACAGTTTCTCTTCCGTCTATAATGCAGCACACCTTTTTTATTTCAGATGAGACAAAACTTACATTCAGCTCATTAAAATGTCATTAAAATATACTCAATGTGACTACATGTTTCAGACTCACAGGCCCATCTTCAAGCAACACATTGTTGACTGAAGATGGCTCCGTGAGGCTGAAACACAGCCAGACATAGAATATATATTGCATATATATATATATATATATATATATATTTTTTTAATGATATTTTTAGAA